CCTAGGTTCCTCTGCTGGTTCCTTCAAGCATGAGGCTCATCTGAACGTGTGGAGAGAGTTCTTAAGCATGGCTGTGGCTGGAACCAGAGGTCTTCAGCTGCCGGAGCTCTGCTCGGGTTGGGGAGGGAAACTCAAACCACCCTCCTCCAAGGGGCCCTGGCGTGGACAGCCAGGCGCCAGGAGACTCTGCCGTCTATTGGTAAAACCCTGAAATTCACTAGTACTGTTCCCTCTTATTGTGGGAAAGGATTCTGGATAAGCTCAGTCGATGGTGGTCACCCTTCTCCATTTCTAGAGTCTGCCCATCCTCTCAGGCATTTTTCTTTGGCTTATGACGGGCATCTAGTGAAGCTTTGGAGGAGATGCTCTTTTAATATTGGGCTTGTACAGCTTCTTTGCATACTGGTCTTTTGTTAAAATTGGAGTAAGCCAGTGGATTATTGTTGTATTGTAGTTAAGATGGCCAGAATTTTTTCCACAGATTTAGGTGATAAAGGCTGGGATGAAAGTCCAGAGTGCTGGGAGTGGGGAATATAATTGCTGCTGTGCCTGCCCCAGAGAAGGCCATGCCTGCTTTGAAGAGGCCACGCCCCTACAGTGATGGCCACGCCCCCAGCCAGTCCAGATGCTAGTCCACAGACCTGTTGGGGAGGGGTGGTGATTAGTTGGGCTGGCACTCGCTGTGGAATTGGAGGCAGATGCCCCAGGCCAGGGTCCCAGCTGCGGCGGCTGGCTGAGTTCCAAGTTGGGGTGGGGAGTGGGCGCCCAGCGGGTACCTGTTTGGGAGAGGCGTCGAGTAGTTGGTCTCCTACTATTTTTTTTGTTTTTATTTTAATTCTTTATTTTCTTGAATTGCCAAGAAATACAGTTACAAAGCTTTCATGTTTGAGTTTGTCATACAATGGCCCTCCACCAGTGCATATTTTCCACCACCAATGTCCCCAGTATCCCCCCCATCTCACCCCTCCCCCTGTATCTGTGGCAGACAATTTCCCTTTTGCTCTTTTGGGCATTATGGGCATTATGGTCTGCAATACAGATACTGACAGGCCATCATGTTTGTTCCTTTTTATACTTTCAGCACACATCTCCCATTCTGAGTGATCACTCCAACCATCATTGACATAGTGAACCTCTTCTCTATCTCTGTGCCTTCTCCCCTAGCTTATGTATAGGGCTTCGAACTGTAGAGCAATCTTTCTGGCCCTTGTCTCTACTGTCCTTGGGTGTTAGTCTCATATTATGTTATTTTATATTCCACAAATGACTGCAGTCATTCTGTCTGTCCCTCTCTTTCTCACTCATTTCACATTGCACGATGCTCTCCATGTCCATACACTTATAAGCAAATTCCATGACTTCAACTTTTCTAACAGCTGCATAGTATTTCACTTTGTATATGTACCAAAGTTTCTTTAAGCAGCGATCTGTTCTCAGGTGTCAGGGTCCAGGCGAGTTGATCCCAGCACACTGGAGTACGATCCCCTGGTCGATGGACTTACTCCCTATAGGAGAGGGAGTGAGAAGAGGAGAAGCCTCTGCCCTGGCTTTCCACACATACGCTGACTCCCACCGCCACTGAGAAAGAACCACATGGAGAGGGGAAAGCTGGTGGTCAATGAGCAATCCGTTTATTAGCTCTCACACAGGGGTTTTTATACATTACATTTTGGGGGCAATCCACATGTATCTCGTTTACCTTCTCAGGCTCTATACATATGTTAATAATTTACATTTCCCACTCTCAGGGCCAGGTGTATTAGCTCAGGAAGATGGTCACTATTACATCCATCATTCTCAAGCAGTGTGCCTGTGTGTGGAGTGCTAAAACTAGCCCCTGGACCCCTGTAAACAGGGTCAGCTCTTTATTTCAGGGACAGGGGATTTGGTCAAAGTCTCAGGCCAGCTACTGAGATCCCAACATTCGGGCACTCAGGTTGTTTCCAGATTCTGGCTTTTGTGAACAGTGCTGCAATGAACATACAGGGCAGATGTCATTTCTACTGTGCTTTTATGCACCCCTGGGATATATTCGCAAAAGTGGTATTGCAGGGTCATATGGAAGCTCAGTTTCTAGATTTTTAAGGAATGCTCATATTGTTTTCCAGAAAGTCTGGACCAGTCGACATTACCACCAACAATGAAAGAAAATCCTTTTCTCCCACATCCACACTAGCACTGGTTGTTCTTGTTCTTTTGAATGTGTGCCAGTCTCTGTGGTGTGAGGTGATATTTCATTGTTGATTTGTTTAGCATCTCCCTGAGTATTAGTGATGTATAGCATTATTCCATGTGCTTTTTGGCCATTTGTATTTCTTTTTTTGAGGAGGTTTCTGTTCATTTTTTCACCCATTTTTGATGGGATTGGAGGTTTTTGCTTGTTGCACACTCTCGCCAGTCCTATTCAATGTAGTGCTGGAAGTTCTTGCTCATAACATTTAGGCAAAAAAAAGATATCAAGGGCATCCGGATTGGAAAGGAAGAGGTCAGGCTATCACTATTTGCAGATGACATGATACTATACTTAGAAAATCCTGAAGACTCTTTAGGAAAGCTCCTAGAAACAATAGCTTTATATAGTAAAATGGCAGACTACAAAATCAATACCTAAGATTCCACAGATTTCCTATACCCAAATAATGAAAGAGAAGAAAGAGCTATTTAAAAAATTCCTGTTCACAATAGTGCTTCAGAAAAGCAAGTACCTTGGAATCAGCTTAAATAAAGAGGTGACGGACCTATACAGAGAAAATTAGAAAAAACTACTTCAAGAAATAAAAGAGGACACTAGTAAATGGAGACACATCTCCTGTTCATGGATTGGAAGGATTACCTTTGTAAAATGGCAATAATCACCAAAGCAATATACAGATTTATTGCAGTCCTTATGAAGATATCCATGACATTTTTCAAAGAAATAGACAAAACACTCCTGAAATTCATATGGAACAGTACATCCCCACAAAAAGCTAAAGCAGTCCTTAGGAAAAAGAAGATGGATGGCATCACCTTCCCCAATTTTAAACTCTACTACAAAGCAGTAGTCATAAAAGCAGCATGGTATTGGAGTGGAGATAGACCTGCAGACGAATGGAATTGAGTTGAATATTTTGTCATAGTCTCTCAAATATATGATCACTTAATCTTTCATAAAGGAGCAAGAAATGTGAAGTGGAGCAAGGAAAGCCTCTTCAAAAAGTGGTGCTGAGAAAACTGGACAGCTACCAGCAAACAACTAAATTCAGACCTCTGTCTAATGCCAGGCACAAAAGTCAAATCGAAGTGCACTAAAGACCTCAATATCAGACCTGAATCCATAAGCTAAATATAGGAAAATGTAGGCAGAACCCTCCATGACACTGAAGCTAAAGGCATCTTTAAGGATGAAACACCACTGACTAAGCAAGTGGAAACAAACATAAACAAATGGGACTACATTAAAGTAAGAAGCTTTTGCACCTCAAAAGAAACTGACCAAAATGCAGAGGGAGCCCACCGAATGGGAAAGAAAATTTACCCAATACCCATCTGACAAGGGGTTTAATATCCAGGATATACAAGACATTAGTAGATTTGTGCAAGAAAAAATCTTCTCCCTACAATTTTTAACATCATTTTCTACTACCATCGTTGGTCCTTACCTCTGGGAGTATAATTCTTATTTTCACAGGGGATAATTTTATTTAACTGTATTCATACACCTTTGTCAGCATGGCAACTGGATTATATTAAAATGACCCTCGAATTAAAGCTAGAATCATATATGCAGCTAACAGTTATGGGACATAGAAATAGATCTTTAAGAATATCATTTTCCACTGTATGAAAAGACTTTGACAGTACAAATACAACTATATGCGAACAAAAAGAAAATATGAATCCAATCACTAGCTACCTCATATAATTCATAATGGCTTTTCTAAAATGTTTATTCAAATACCTATAACTATTCAGTGATGGACTTTTTTGTCTAATAATCTCCTATAAATGTATTTGGTCCTAGAGTAATGCAGCATTGAAATAACTTTTAGGAGGTGACTTTCAAGAAAAATATTATGATATTTATAAACACAGGGAGAATTTTATCATAAGTTACAGGTAGATTGGGAATATTGGTTAAAAACTTAAATGTTAATATGTATTAGTTATTTTTTAGAGAGTAAACACTATAATAGTTGATTGGCATAATGTATAAGCCAGATCCTCCAGAAAATTAAAATTATAAACTATACCCAAACCAGTTTTTCATCATTCATTCATTTGGTTTTGACATGTAGGTAGAGCAATTAGCATATCAGGGCATTCCTCCCACAAAAATGTGGTATTATTTTCTTTACATTATGTAAATGTATTTCTATGTATAGTTATAGGTTTTGTGTTTCTACTGTTTCATTATTTACCTATATAATATTTCTCTAAATTTATTTTTAATATTTTTAATTAAGAGCGTGATTTACAAAATTATTAATAATATGGTTTGGGGCATACACTGTTCCAGCACCAATCCCACCAGCAGTGTCACCTTCCCTCCACAAGTGTCCCTGGGTTTTCTCCCATCTTCCAGCATGCCTGTTTTACAGGCACATTTTTAAAGTTTGATTTCTATAGTTTTGGTATGGTATTTGTTTTTAAGATCTTCTGTTATATGCAGTCTTCTTCAAAAACTTATATTTTCGTTTCATAAATTGAAGCTGAGAGATTTGGCATGTTTTAGCTATTAATTTCATGGTTGCATAGTATCAGACTTTTAGAGGTGTAACGTTCTCTTTGGGTACCTTTAAAAATAAACACATTTTGACTCTTCTAGAGGAGAGAAGAAACTAATCAGAACCTCACCAAGAAAAGCAACAGAGAACTCCTGAGGCAGAAGCCGCTTCTGATACATAATCTAAAACCTTCGTTGATTTGAGAACCACAGCAGGCATTCACCAGTTGGTACGGTAGCTCCCAGCAGTGAACCAGATAGGTACTGTCCTTTTCAGAGAGACTAAAAGGTGTTGAAAATGAGCCATCTAACTTCAACCTCTACTGGATCATCTCAGAGGGCACCTGCTCTGACTGACATATCTGCGGCCAATGAGTTGGCACGTCTTTTTGAGTGCCAACTTTGCTTCAAATATGTGCTACCCCCCATTATTCAATGCCAAGATGGCCATCTTTTTTGTGTCGGCTGCCGCCGAAAGCTCAAATGTTGCTCAACTTGCAGAAGCCCATTCAGAACCATTCGCAGTCTTGCTAAGGAGAAAGTGGCTAATTCAGTACGTTTTCCTTGTAAATTTTCTCCTTCTGGGTGTGATCGATATCTGACACTCGCAGAAAAATTAGATCATGAGAACTTGTGTAAGTGTAGGCCTTATTCTTGCCCATGCCCAGGCACTAACTGTAAATGGCATGGCTTAATGGATGCTATAATACCCCATCTGACAGATCAGCATAAGTCCATTATAACCCTCGAGGGAGATGATATAGTTTTCCTTGCTGCAGATATTAATATTCCCGGTGCGATTAACTGGGTCATGATGCAGTCTTGTTTTGGCTTTAACTTCATGTTAGTTTTGGAAAAAAAGGAAAACCACAATGGTTATGAGGAGTTTATTGCCATTGCGCAGCTAATAGGATCAAGAAAAGATGCTGAAAATTTTATTTATCGCCTTGAGTTAAATTCTCATCAGCGGCGATTAGTTTGGGAAGGGGTCCCTATATCTGTTAATGACGAAATTCCAACAGCCAGGAAGAAAGGGGACTGCCTTATCTTTGATGCTAGCCTTGCAAAGCATTTTATAGAAAATGGCAATTTAAGTATCAATGTTACTATTATCTCATGTTAAAATGTCAGTCACACATTTTCTGATTAGTATTTTAAACTGCTGCATTGGGTTTTACTGAGTCACCCTGCCAACCCAAACTTTTTGGCGGGTAGAAGCTAAACACACAAAGATAAATAAAAGATATTGGATGAATATAGAAAATAATTTCAAGTATTATTATTAATATATTTAAAAATAAGTCTGTGGCAAACAGCTGGAAAATATATTCACACCACACAAGATGACATCTTTTGCATTACCTTTAATTTTTTGCATTAAGAATGAAAATATTCAAATAATTCTGAAGTTTTTTTTGTATATTGAGTGTTCTGTTGGAAATACTGTAGTTTTTATTTTTATTTTTTGCATGTTTGTGTGTGTTTATGCGTGCACTTTATCTGACAAATCATGTTGAGAGGTCTTGGACCACTGTTTTTCTTTCTTTTTAAAAAAATTTTATTTTATTGAATCAGAGTGAGATCTACAGTTACAAAGTTGTTCATGATGGGGTTTTAGCCATACAATGTTCAAAAACCCATTCCTTCTCCAGTGTACCTACCACCAATGCCCCCCACCCCACGCCATCTGCCTCTACCTCTATGGCAGGCACCTCTCTCTCTCTCTCTCTCTCTCTCTCTCTCTCCCTCTCTCGCTCGCTCTCTTTCTCTCTCTGGCCCCCCAAAATAATCATTTCAAGCAATAATTATCATACTGGACCACTGGTTTGCACATTTGTGAATTAACAGTTATGCTGCTGAGTGTATTTTTTTGTGTTTTTGTTAATTTTTATTGTTTTTCATGAACACTTTCTGTTCTGTAATTCAGTTTTTTTGCTCATGTTTTTATAACATTTTAAAATCAGTGATTTATTGATGTGCATGATTGTTTATAACAAAGCTTGTATATATGGTTTTAATACATATCTTCTTTCTTCCTATTAATCAGTTCATTGGAAATATTTTAAATTCCACTATTTTGTGAAGATAGGTGCTCTATACAGGAAAGGTAACATAGGAAGAATTACCAGACATGATTAAATCAGCTATAAAGTAGTTCTCTTTATTCTTGGGTTGAGATATATTATCAGATGTATTCTTTGAAAGGTAAGGGAATACTAATATTCCAAAGATTAGTATTGAAAAAAATCAGGCATAAATAACTTAGACAAATCAGATGTTTGAAATTTTCCTCATATTTATTGTTTTCCCAAAAGAAGGCATTATTTTACACATTATTTGTAATTAAGCAAATCTTTTTCACAAAAAGAAAGTTTTCAAAAACAAAAACTGTTTTTAATCTTTTGTAATTCTCATTAAAACCATACCTGGCAAAAATAAATATATTGGTGAAAGTAACTTTATTTTTCTTTGTTTTAAATTATTGCATTTTAATGTTTTGTTGTATTTTAGGTAACGTGATTACTGCAGTAGTAACTCTCATGTTTTGAATGAAAATTGTAACTGTACCTTCGTTGCCTCCAAAATGCACCAGATTTTCCACCATTCTCCTTATATCACATTTAGTTTGCCTCTTCCATTCCCACCCTCCCCCAGTGCTTTAATCAAGATCAAGGGATTGTTCTTATTCAATATTATTTATAAGCTTGTTTTGTTTTTCTGTATATCACAAATCAGTGGGATTTTCAAGTAATTGTTCTTCCTTTTATTTTAATTAACATAATGACCTCCAATTCTGTCCAAATTGCTGCAAACTGGAAAATTTAAGTTCTTCCAGGTGCATAGTATTCCTTTGTGTACATATGACACAGCTTCCCTATCTGTTGTTAGCATATGTTATTGGACATTTTAATTATTCATGTGAACCTCCTACATGGTAACTTGCTTGTTCTATTTGGGGTGTTTTCTCTGCTACATGAATCTCATCCTTCATCTTAGTAGTATATTTGAAAGTTTGTTAAGTTTTAAGACAAACTCCTAGAAAAATTCAGCACTTCTTTTCTCTACCCATATCCACATACAAATCTGGTGCTCATGTACCATTCTTTAAGACATTCCTGTTTTAGAATTGGAACATTTCCCTGTTGAAATAGTCCTCTGAATAATTTTTATTACCACCTAGATTCATTTCTTTGCCCATCTCTAAATAGTCAAAGACCCAAACAGTTTAAATGATTGTTGTTTCCTCATATACCTAAGACCTCAAAGTGTTGTCAAATCTAATAAGGCATTGTTTGATATTTTGCTAGTATTTTGGACCATAAATGCAAATTGTGAGGCATATATAATTATGACGTCTCTTCAGGAGAGCAGGAATAGCTTATCCAATCCAAGTGTCATAATGAGAGTCAGATAGAACTTGGGCTTGAATGAATATTCATGACAGTTTAATCAAAGTATTCAAAATGAAAATTAAAACAAAAATATATATTTCCATTTGGATTACTAAATTATATTGCCAAAAGACCTATAAAATGTAATTCTAAATAATTTTTATTGATAAATAAGGGCATAAAATTTTATCAACTCAAATTAATCTTAAATTTTATCAGTTTATTTAGGATACCCAATTTTGTTTTCTCCTGGGTTTCTACTTTGTCATTTTTCTATGTTACTATAATGAACTTAGGCATCAATAGAACCACAACTTCCAAGGGATATAGTCATCATATAACAAGACAGAAATCAATGTCGTTTGGGCATACAAAAATTCATTATTTCTTTATATGACTACTGTGAAATAACCTTTAATTTCATTAGACATACTATTAAAATAAAAGGAGATCATTATAATCTCATGGGAAATAAAACAATAAAGATGAAAAGTTTGATTATCCCTCATGTTAAACTGACAAGAATAGAGTTTTGAGGAAGTAACAGTTTGAGTTTAAAGGTAATATAGCTCTTGAAAATAAAGTATCTTTAAAATTATTAATATGCTTTTTGTGAACATATGTTTTTATTTCTCTTGGGTAAATACCTTCGACTGGAATTGCTTAATTATAGTGTAGGTACACATTTAACCTTTTAACAAACTGCCAAACCTATTTTTAGTTTGGATCTTTTTAAATTTTCACCATCAGTGTATATGTCAAATTGATCTAAATCCTTGCCAACGTTTAGATTGTCTTAATTTTAGGAATTCTAGTTTGTTTATAAGTAGAGATTTCTATTGAATGATGCTAGCTGAGTGCCAGGATTTAAAGTTTGATAATTAGCTGTTTGAGAATCTAAAGGATCTAACTGTGTGTACACATATATGGACACATGTCTGTGCATATGGTGTTTAAAGTTAAATTTAAGAAAACTTTAACAAAAAAATTTCATAATGTTGGATTTTTCTCAAGGTTAAAATATGCATGATGATATAGGCAGGACTTTCCTTAATCACAATTATTTCTGTGTGCCAATATCCTGAAACAAAAGAAAAATATTCTCATTCACAAACAGTGTTCTGGGGTTCTCTATTTTTCTTTTCAGTTATTCTTAGGTTACTCAGTTTCTGACCATTCAGTTAGACCAATAGTATCTGACCATTCTAGGTTTAGATTAAGATTTTCCTCCTAGACCTATTTGTGTCCAACAATACTATCCACTGATAAACTATCCTAAGATTGAGAGTACAGCGAATTTAAAAATGAGAAAAAATAACTTTTAACTCACTACAAAATTATTGCAGACACAATGGAACAATATTCAAAATTTTTGAAAGACAAATTAATAGTTTCTAATGTAAATTGCTTTTTCATTCACATTGACGACTTGTATTTTCTTTAAAAGATTGAATTTAATTTATCTGCATAGTATTTAAATTTTATTAATGAGAAAATAATAGTGGGTTGTGTTCACCATAGTTACTGTAGTTATAAAACTACAGTTGCCTATATCACCTTCAGTTCAAGGAAGGAGAATCTCAGGAAACTAAGTAAATGGAGAGAAGTAAGAAGAGGTGAATAGTAAGTAACAAGGATGGAGCAGGAGCCTTGGACATATTGATGGGGTAGAAGTGTCACATCTCTTTCTACCTAAGCCACAGAGCGGCAATACTGAAAGTATTGAGATCTAAATTATAACTGTAGCACTGTAGCACTATCCTCAGTTGTTTTCCTCGAATGGGAAACAGTAACATCTCATAACAAATTGTGAGACTAGTTGTTACTGTTTTTGGCATATCAAATACATCTCGGGGAGCTTGCCAGGCTTTGCCTTGTGGGTGAGATACTCCCAAATTTAAAAAATGTACCTGTCAAGAAGGCAGGCTGGGGTTAGGAGGGACCTTGGGGACATCGGTGGAGGAAAGTTGACACTGGCATTGCAATTGGTGCTGGAACATTATGTGCCTGAAACTCAACTGTGAATAATTTGATAATTATTGGTACCTTAATTAAAAAGTTAAAAAACTATTTTATCAAATTAATTTATCAATTATTCATAATATAATTTATCATAATTAACAATAAGTTACCATATTTAGCCTTATGATTTTGTTTTAAGTTATAGGCCTTCTTCACACTGTCATTTATTTAATAAATTATCATTGCAACATAATATTTTTATGCTTAAATTTATGATACAGACCTTTTTATTAAGGCTTGGAAAGATCAGAAATGTAATTGACATTCTTCCAATAGGTCTACAAATGTAATTTCTTTTTTAAGTGTATTAAAATTAATTCATTCTCCAAAAGCCTTTAAGAGGGCCAGGAATTAGCTAAGTGGTGGAGGAGCACTTGTATGTATAAGGTCCTGGATTTTATCCCCAGCGTGATAATAAATAGATTTATTAGTTAAAAAACAAATACCTTTAACAAATCAAAGTATTTTCTTCTTGAAATATTTGAAGCATGATGTAATATTTTAAACATTATTAAAATATGAAATATGGTTTAATGCTGTATTTATAGAAATTTAAAGTTTGAGTAAGAATAGGGTGACATTTTTGTCATTAGCTCCAGATATTAACAGAATTGATTAGTGTGATATTTTCAGAGGGACATATGCATCCTAAATCACATGTCAAGGTGGGTCACCTCTGCATGAATTTGAAACAACACAATAGCTTTAT